TCCAGTTCTCAGCCTACTTGACCCCTCCGCAGCCACATTTCCTCAATTTTGTTCTGCAAAACACTTGTCTCTTGAGCTGCTCTGGGGAAAAATATGTGTTCGTGGTCCTCCTATTAGACACTTTTGTAGTATGCTGTGCTTCAACTGTGCAGCATTTAGCACAGTTGCAGTTAATTAATTTGTCTGATTAGTTAATGTCTGACTTTCCTGAGGAATGTATGTTCTTGAGGGCAGCAGTGCTGTCGGCTTTGTTACTGCCATAGGCCCATAGTTCCAGCACATAAAAGACGTTTAAAATATGTTGAACTGAATGAATGAATGCATGTCCATGTTTCTCTTTGGGAAATTTACAATGTGAATTAACATATTAAAGGTAAAATCCTAGACTAAATAAATTTGTTCAAATTAGTTTACCATAGGATTTTCCAAACTCAATGGCCAAAAGCCCTCTTCGATCTCTCACTTCCAGTAGAATCCCCCAACCTTGTGGGGGATTTTATGAAACTCACATGTTACTCTCCAGCATTTGATGTTGTTGAGTACCCACTATTTTTCCGTATTTTCCTTCCTTGGCTCCCAAGATTCCATTCTTACTGGTTCTCTTCCATCCTTTGGAGATTGTCTCACCCATAATCATGGGATCACCAGGCATTAGTGTGTTGACAGCCACCAAGATGCATAGCCCCCAGACTTCTGTCCCCATCTAGTGACTGCTTACACCTATTCTGGCAGCCTCACTAGCCTTTCATTCAGACTGTGTCATTCTGACCACATTCTGACCCCCCTCCCCAACCTCCCTATTGTGTATCTTGCTTATGGTACCACTACTCATTTAAACCAGAAAACTAGAGGTTGTATCCTTTGGTCCTTATATTATCTTACAACTCTGAATTGAGATAATCAACTTTATTCCAGAAATATTGTTCACAACTTAGCTCTTTTGTCTATTCCCATTTCCATTACCTTGATAAACACATTCATTATCATTGCCTGCATTATTGCAGTAGATCTCAAAATGGTCTCTCATACACCAGTCTTTTCCCCATTCTAATCCACCCTTCACGTTGCTTTTAGAACTGGTTTCTTAAAAGAAATTTGTCCAAATCCCTCCGTCAGCTTGAAGATCTGCTGGTTC